AGACTCTTAACCCTTTATTCCTGTTGAATCTAGATCATGAATGCACCAAGTTATGAAGTTCATAGCAACATAAGTCTATCTTATGCAGTTTCAAGCCCAAATATCAAACATGATTTGAGTTTCTGTAATGGATCCAAACCTTGTGTTTCGTGAGGAACCCAAAAACTGGGTTCTTCGAGGAACCTAGATTTGGGTTCCTCGCGGAACCCCGAGGAACCCATAATGATGAAGAGCATGGTGAAGGGGATGGTGAAGATAAATGGTCACATGATGATGCTCGAGGATGAAGGTGAGGTGAGGACGAGGATAAGAGTGTGGGGAAAGAAAAAGATGAAGAAATTAAAGTTAATTATGTTTAAATTCATTTAATTCATAATTAAAAAGGAAAATTTTTAATTTGTACATGTGGTCTAAAATTTTTAGATGAAATGCTTGCTCGAATTTATAATTTTCTCCTTATAATTTTCACGTCATTTATGATATCAATTATTTAAAAAAATAATTAAGTAATTCCATTAATTAATGTGATAGCTTGGCAAATAATCAACGAAGGGACCAAAGGAATTTTAAATTTTAAGGACCATAAAAGGATTTTTTCCTGTACAAGGACCAAAAAGGGGCTTTTATCAATAGTAAAGGTACCAAAAATGGTATTTAACCTATTAAAATCAATCATATTAGAATTTGATCCTTTCTAGAGATAAGTCAATATTTGTATCTTGTTTTGCCTTAAAGCTATTTATCCATTCTCCTTTTTTCAAGTCTATAAATGGGAGGTTTTGGCTTACAGTTCTTTCATTACCTTTGAAGGCTTCAACCATTGACAAAAAATTACTCCCACTTACCTTGTTGGGGTTAGCTCAAGTGATAAATAAGGGTGATGACAACTATATTGAAAATATAGGTTTAAATTATTATTATTTTTTAGAATATCGAATGTATAAAAAAAGAAAAAAAATTTATTTTTCTTAATTATTTTCCACTTATTTCAATATTCAAATTTTCAATTTTCAATTTTAAGTTTTTAATTCTTGATTATTTGAGACACTCTCTTAAACCTAAATTACTACTATTTGGTGGGTGTAAATAATTTCAATACAAAATTTAAAGGCTTTATTGCTTAAAATACTTTATTAAAGTTAAACTATTTGTCACGCCTCAAAACCAAAAGCGAAACAGACGCCGTGCACTCGAGAACGGATCCCACAATGCACAAGGCTCGAACTTACTAAGTTCATAGTTACTAACTCAGATAATTCAGATTTAGAAACTCAGGTAATATCTAATTTCTCTTTTTCCTTTTTTCTAAATATTTACTAGTCAAAATATTCAAAGGTTAATAACTTCCTCTATACAGTCATTACTATACTAAAGGAGTTCTGTACACAAAAATTTCTAAATCAACATGGGTGACTAGCGGCCTAGCTACAAAAACCTAAGTCCAACAAATGCCTAGCCGTCTAGCTCGTCACTCCCCCGGGCTCCCCATGCGTTGGGTCTCACTACCTGAAATGGTGGACAAGGAAAACTGTGAGATAAAATATCTCAGTAAGTAAATATGGATGCCCGGGATCAAAGTTTAAAGCATGCCAAATAAACAGTTTAAACATAAACAGGGCGTCTCAATAACAAACCATTAATGCAGAATAAAATTAAATAGTGGTCTCCTCTATTAGTCATGACCAGTGTTATAAACCTCCCACTGGCAGGCACATGATTACTAGTGTATAATCCCACTAGTAGGATAACACAAGCGAACCGGTCCTATCAATAACATGTCGACATGTGCTAGCGTTTATAAACCTCCCACTAGCGGGCACATGAATAGCATGACCATATTGGGGACAAAACCAAGCATATTTACCGAAAAACCACGATTCACAATCGTTCTCACTTTCAAGAATAAACCGAAAGAATCTCATGTGGTCATGCTCAATTCCAGAAAATAAGGAAATGATAAAAGTTCAATTCCCATTTTTATCATGCTCAATGCAATTAAATCCACTTAAACCTTGCCACCATCTCAAAAAACAATTTAAAATATACTTTAAAATTTAAGGGTATTACCATAATTTACTTACCTTAATCGCACAAGACAAAAGACTTAATCCAAGCGCTAGGGTCACAAGACGATCAAGGACCTAATCACAATATTTCTGAATTAATATCTATAAAGAAATTTTATTTATTTATTTATTTATTTTTATTTTTCTCTTATCCGAAATTTGAGCACACAACATTAGATTATGCATTTATATATATATACATTGTTACACATATATAATTTTTCCAATTTCATGGACAAGAAATGGGAGAATCGGTTTTGACAAAAAAAAAATGGGCAAGTCATGGAATTTTCCTCTTTTCTTCCATACATCATCACAGCAGCCCAACAAAGGAGTTTCTACATAAATTGACTTAAAATTCATTGCAAGGCTACCGGAAATCAATCCCCCACTTCCAGCAGATTTTCGGACAACCCAAGCCCATTTCATACAACCACTTAAACTCACAAATCAGCACTTAATCAACCAATTTTTCGGAGATTAGAGGAGCCAACTTACCAGAAATCCTCAGCAAGCAAGGCTGGAGCTGCAGATTGAGGGGAAGACCAGCGGGAAATTGGAGGAGCTTTCACGCCACTACCCAAAAATTGAAAGAAACCAAAAGGGATTAAAGTGCACCCAAGCCAAATTAGGTGAAAAGAGATGAATTCATGGCTGACTCATACCAAAAAAGTCAAAAATTCCACACCCACACAAGCTGAAACCGGCGGCAGGGGAGGGAAGAAGATAGCAGATCTGGAAAATTTCTGCAAGGGAGAAGATTTCTAAGTCCTAGACTTGTTCTTGAACAAGAGGAGAACAAAAATCATCAAGTTCTCTTACCAATTTTCAGGTGGAGGCGTTGGAAATGGCTGGGTTCACTTCCGGCTGCAAAGGAGAAAAAGAGGCAGAGCAGACACGCAACACGCGAAAATGGCTGGGGAAGAAAGAATGGAAAGAAAAAAAAAGGAAGAAAAGAAAGTCAGTCGGCCTGATCCCCAAAAATCTTTTAAACCCTTTGGAATCTGAAATTTTGACTATTAGGTCCATTAATAACGTTTCCTCACCATTAAGTCCCTAACTCAACTTTAATGTTCTCGAAATTTTTTGGGTGATTACACTATTATTATTTAGTGGGTGTAAATAATTTTAACATGCTATCATTGTCACCCTTAATTAAAGATGGAGATTTATCCTACAAAATCGAATAAGGTCAATTGATAAATTCAATACGATTATTCAAGCCAAAAATTATAATGCCATGTATTATAAAAAATTACCCCCACTTGAAACACTTTTTTTATTTCCATTATAAAGTGGAGACCCTTCAAAACCTATAGCGGCAGGTCACAACGATGAAGGTCTAGTTATCATAATTGACAGTTATTGAAGTGTGTAACGAAATTTGTGACTTTATAGGATGTATGTATTATTTTTCAAAAAATTATGATAAATCTAAGCTATTAATCAATACATCATGGAACAACGAATGGCTAAAATCTTGTACATATGTTTAAGTGGAATGTTATATATATTAACAACTTTTATGTTAAAATCCGATTTGGCATTCATTTTTCCTAGAAGTTTGTCAACCTCATTATCAACATCAGCACTACCACTGCTCCAGACGTCAACTCTCCCAAAAGTTCAAGGTTCGTGTAGGAAATTAAAGCAAGGAAAAGAAAGAAAGAAAACTAAAAGAAATTCAAAATGCTTTATTATTCTGTAACATGAAAATGAGTACAGAGGTAGCCTTTATATAAAGCGTTAGGTAACTTAATAATCAAGAAACTTAAAAACTCTAAATCAATCTAACATAATAATTCTAAAATCTATTACAACAATT